CCCTGAGCTTGGTGCCCAGCGGGTACTTAAGGTCAGAAGACTCTGCCTGGCCTGGACAGGTCCTGGCGCCCGGGAGCCCACTCATTTTGCCGGTGGCCACCTCCCACCCCTCCCAGTCTTAAATAGCCAGCAGCCGGCAGGCCCCAGGCCCGCCTCCAGAGGCCAGCCCAGCCCACCGCCCGGCCAGCCCTCTGGGGCCTTCTGCGGTAGGCGGGCGGCAGCGGTGGAGAGGGCTGCCCTGGGGAGAGGGTGTCTCCTTGTAGGTGTTTCCTCAGACGTCCTTGACCAGATGGGCTGTGGGCGCAGCTGCTCTGGGTTGTTGTGGAGAAGTCTGGGGACCAGAGAGCTAAGCCTGTGGACAGGCACCCTGGCCACCAGCACGCCCCCCTCGGGCTTCCCACTCTCTTCCCTCCAGCTCTCCGCACTGCCCTTTGCACACACGGGCCCACTCCTCTGAGATACCGTCCCTCGAGAGCCGCCCGGGGAAGGCCGCCCGGGCCTCCCGGCAGCCTCCTCGCCAGGAACCACTGGCCCCAAGGAAGTGTAAGGGGCTCTCCTGGCCTCAGGACCCGCCGGACAGAGACCCCCACACACATACTCTGCAGGGCGTGGCTGGGTGTAACCCCAGGCAGGGCGAGGCCTGGGGAAGTACTGAGACCTAGGGAATTTTCACTTTCTTTCTTTTTTCAAAATGAATTATTTATTGATGCACACAGAACTGGGCGCAGGCCAGAGGTGCAGGGGGTGAGAGGACTCCCCAGAGGCAGAGTGGGGAGCAGAACAGGTGGATCCACTGCTGAGGGAGCAGCGGGCAGGCAGGAGGGCCCAGCGGGCAGGCAGGAGGGCCCGCGGCCCCGCGGCCCCTCCCTGGCCGGGTGGAGCTCGGCTGCGGCGGCTGCGGGCAGCCTGACAGAGCTCCGTCTGCCCTGTTGTGCCACCGGCGAGGGCCCCATCTTGTTTCTTAGAAGCCAGAAATACCGAGGCTCTGTGTTCTGTCCCAGTGACACTCACAGGCAGGCCCTCCAAAACACACCGCGCTCAGTTAGGCGCGGAAGGGTCACCCCGGCTCCTCGCGGACCCCAAAGTCCCTCAAGAGACACAAAGCTCCCAGAACTGCTTGCCCCCCTGCCGTCCCATGCACCAGGATCCTTAGCACCTTTCTTCACCCCCCGCAGATCCCCAGTGCCTGACCCCAAAGTCCTGCGGGTGGGGTACAGTGAGGGTGGGTCTCCCTTCTTCAATTCCTCCTATTGTTCCCCAGAAATCTTATCTGGGCTGTACGTCCTGTCCCCCCCCACCCACAGGCCCCTCCCCTCATTGTGGGCCAGAGGGACCTCAGCCCGCAGGGAGCCTCCAGCGCCTCCTCACCCTCCGCCCAGCGGCCCATTGTCTGTGGAGGAAGCTCAGGGACACGTGAGGGCCCAGGGGACACTCAGTGGGCACACGCTGCCCAAGGGCCCCGCAGGCCTCGCTGGGTCCCCACGGCTGGCGGGTCTGTCCCCGGGTCTGTCCCCATGGCGGTGCAGGGCTGGGCCAGGGCCCCTGGGGCTGTCTGCTCTTGGCTCGAGGAATCCTGCCTGCGGGGCGTGGACGTGACCTGGGACAGCCGACCCACGGCAAAGGCCAAGAGGCGAGCCAGGACCGCACAGCCAGGGACGCTGCCGCCTGACAGGCCCAGGGGGAAGGTAGGTTGCCCGCTTGGGGCCGCGGAATCTGGGAGGTGGTGGCAGCCCCCTATTCAGGTCTGGAGCGGAGACCAGGTGGACGGGAAAGGCGGGCGAGTAAAGGGGCCACAAAAGGGTCGGGGCTCCCCAGGCCGGCGAGCCCCAGGTGTGGACAGGAAGACGCTGCAGCTTCCGCTTTCGGACAAAGCAGCAGCATCCCCCTGACCTGACCCCGTGTGCTTCTCCGCCGCCAGAGCCCCCCTCAAGCAACTGGCGGGAGGGTCCCGCTGGCCCCCTGCCTACCACTTGGCCCCACACCCCACAACAGCCCCCCCCCCCAAGGCAGCAGCCTGGGTGATGTAACAAAACCTTTATTCTCAGAAAACAGAAAAACCAAAACCAACGATTTCTATCGGGCCCTCGCCCCAGCCTCCCACCCACCCACGTATCTTCCTTTTGGGGGGACGGATGATGCATGCACGCGGTGGGAGCTGACGGGGCGCCGGTTCCTGGGGCAGAGAGAAGTCCCTGGGACCTCCCGGAGCGCGGGCGCCGGAGGACTGCCCGACGCTCCTTGGGGACGGGGTGGCGTCCGCGCTCCCCATGGCCTTCACCAGTTACAGCTCATCTTCATCCAGCTTGGCGAGTCTGGCCTGGCAGGGGGGGCTGTTTGGAATCGGTGGAACCGGAGGAGACGCACGAGAAGTCGGGGGGGCGTCCCCTAGATCCTGGAGAGAGACTCGAGTCAGAGGGTGAAAATGTTGAGGGACCGCCCCCAGCCCCCTCTTCGCTCCCCCCCAGGGCCAGATTTCCTGGGTTGCCTGGGACCAGGAGCTTTTCGGGGCTAGGCTGGCAGGCGGAGGGCGAGCCGGCGGCCAGGGCACGCAGCAGTGGTGGGAGGGGACCCAGGGCCCCGGAACAAGGGGGGCCCTCCGCTCTCTTTCCAAGCACCGCGGGACCCCCAGTGAGCACACCTGCGTCCCCAGGGGCCCTGGGGCCCTGGTCGCCTCCCCTCTGGATGACAGCAGCAAGGAGGGGAGAGAGCCGTTGAGGGGCGTGTGCGTGCCGACAGGGCCCCGCTCCCCCGGCCGCGTTCTTCCGGGGCTCCCCCCCCCAGCCGCTCCCGGCCGCCCCAGGCTGCTGGTCTGGCTCTCCCGTCTCTGGTACTCGATGGGCGACTGCAGCGCTGGAGAACGACAGAAGCGTCACGCGGACAGGCCGGTCCGCAGTCCGCCCCGCGTCCTCCCCAGCACCGCCGGCCGCGTGGCCTGTTAGCGCTCGGGGGTCCTGGCTTGCCAGGTCTTGAGCCAGCGGCAGAAAGGAGGTGGGGTGGGGGGATCAGGCTGGGGTAGGGGTCAGGGGTCAGCGGGCCTGGGCAGCGAGGACTCCGGAGGCGCGGGCCGGGGCTCACCGTTGAGGAAGTCCCGCTGGCTCTCCAGCATCTGGGCCACCTGCCCGATCCAGGCCTGACTGACGGCCGGGTCCGCGGTCTGCAGGACGTAGCGCTGGATCCCGCCCTCCGGCCCTCTGGAGGTCAGTGCAAAGCGGCAGGGGTCACCTTGGAGGTTCCCCTCCAGTCCCAGGCAGCTCACCTGGATCGGCAAAGGGGAGATGGCCCCCGAACTCTTCAGGGCCCCTGGGGATCCTGCCCGCCAGCACGCGCAAGCCGCCGCCCAGGCCCGTCAGCTTGCCCACCTTGATGCTGTTCTTGTAGGCGTATCCCGGCTGCGTCCCCCCTCGCGCCCCTCCGCCCAGGGCCTCACTGAAGATGACAATTTGCTCAAAGAGGAAGACGCGCCTCTCTCGGCCGCGCGAGGAGAGCAGCCCCCCGGCCTCCGGCTCCGAGACCCAGAAGGTGTCCTGGC